TTAACCAGGGTATTTTCGATCTCGAAGCCGCACTTGAGCCGCATATCCTTGGTTTTTATGATTATTGTGCTTGTTTTTCCTTCGCTTTTTGTTCTTTATCCCTGTTTTATGTGTCAAGTTTGCCTGTTGCGCTTCCTGGCCTCCTTTTGTCCTGTGGCAGGAGGACTTTCCACTCGCCATCGCCGGCGAGTGGGGAAAACAAATAGCAAAATAAAAACCACTGCCTCGCCTTAATTAAAAAGTTAAATTTTGTGTTCCCCTTGCCTGTGGAACTTGGCGACAGTTTTGTCCTACTAGCGAATTGTGGGGCAGGTTGCCGGTGGGGGTTTCGCCGCTTTGTTGCCACTTTGAACACGGACCGGCGATGTCGTTGGCCGGCCTGACAGCCCACACTTTCAACTCGACAATTGCAGTTCAACAATCTCGCCGACTCATTTCTTCGGGGATTTCTATTGTGAGCGTATGCTCTTTCGTTCGGATTTGCAAAAGAAAAATCCAGGGTATTGTTTATTTACCTAAAAAAATACCAATTAATTTTATTTCGCATATAATTAACACTTTTACTATTTAAACAATTTCAATATCGTTCTCTTCATTTAATAATCACACAAGTAATTACAAGCGCCGATAGGTCATGATTGATTCCATCACATATTTCCATCCAGCAAAATAATGTTGCGAGGTAAGAGCTGTAATCGAATTACTACTAAACTCCGAAACATATTTAAAGTGCAAACCTTTCCCCGTTGCCACCGCAGTACGTCAATAATTTTTGGAAATTGGGATTTCGCTGGAAAAGCCGGCGGAGATAAAAGGGAATCGCATAATCAGCCATGTTCTGCGGCCGCCTTTCTTTTCAAAATTCCAAATCCAGATCCGCAACCGAAAATGAAAGCGAAAAACAGCAACATGGACATTTCCCTCTAATTGGCATTAGGCAAAAGTTTTTAGCCGGGGCATCAGCCTTGATGGTTTTCAAATAGAATTAACACTGAAATTATTTTAGTGCGTCAACTTTAAGCCGCTTAGCTGTCATTCGCTGGCTGCCACAAACATCGCTGCACTCAGCGAAAAGCCATTAACCTCCTTCCCCCCTGCAAAAACAAAACACTTGACTCCGCCACCTCCTAGTGCAAAATCTGAAACTTTTGCTGAATCCAAAATGAGAATCGACCGAGCTGATCAGCGGTTGCGGGCGAAATAGAAAAAATAAACACACACTCACACAACTGGCTTCGAAATAATAATAAAAGAAAAGTTTTTCCTAAATGCTAAATAAAGTCTTTTAATTCATTTATAACTAGTTATAATGTTGGCTGAAAAGTGCATAAGGCTACACAAATAAAGTGGCACTCCACATGGTTATATTTTAAGGGGCAGAGACCGTATGATACAAACCAAGAGCACAAGAAACTAATTCAGGCATCTGAAATTGGGAGTGCTCAGGGGAATAAATTTGAGGAACCACCGCAATAACCAGTTCAATCCCCGACCTCCGACCCCCGACCCCCGACATATAGTATGGGCTCAGATGCTTTTAAAAAGTCATTAGACGAGCTTGGGCTGCTGGATGGGATATCTGGATATATAACTCTTTGTGCGAGTGGATGATGAGCTTCAAGGCCTTGTGCAAATTAAACGCTTAACTAACCATTAAACAAAGTTTTGCTTGTAGCTCTGCGGTTGTTTTTCTTCTGGGTGTTCCACCGATGGGCGTTTTCGGGTTTTTTTTTGCGGGCGGCGAGGGGGGAGAGGTTAAGGATATTGCAATAAGCTGGTGTTTGCTGCTGGCTTTGCTTGTTATTTTTAATTAAGCAAATTTTCGGCACAAAACATAAGAAAACACCAAACAAACAGCAAAAAGAGCGCCGAAAGGGTATCTTTCTCTTGTGTGCGTTCGTGTGTGTTTATCTGTGTCTGTGTAATGTGCATGTGTGTACGTGAAAGTATTAAGGGATAAATAGGGTTGGCTATTCCCATTAAGCCACAACAGATTGTTAATTGAAAATATTTAATGCCAAAAAAAACACAAAGGCCAAAAACCCGAAAAAGTGCTCAAAAGTAGGCAACGAAAATTAGGCAGCTAAGCACACAGACACAGACACTCACACATACACATTCAGTTGGGTTCGCACAAATACGAAGTCTGTAATTCTCAACAATTGTGGCATTAAGGTCAGATACATGCATACGTACCACATTTTTTATTTGTACAATTTAAAATAAAATGTTAAAAAAAGAATGTTTTTGATTATGTGTAAGCCGATAACAATCTATATGTATATATATAAAACTGCTTTCGTAGAAATATATTTTAGCAAAACTTTTAAAAATTTCATTTAAAAGTTCCCTCCGTTTCAAGTCTGCCAAAAAGGAATATCCTTCTGAAATCCGGCATCCTGAAAGTGTGCAAAAAGTGCCGAAAAGTAGGCAACGAAAATTAGCCAGCTGGCACACGGACACTCACACACACACTCTCACACACACAGGCACATCAAGAAATTGGCAAATACTATAAAATGAAAAGCAAACACCGAGAGAGCAACTCGAATGATTAAACGGTTTGTCAGTTTGGGGCTTCTTTTCTTTTCCTCTTCTTCCCCTTTCTATATCCCCTATACCTATCTCTTTCTAAAGGATCTAGAGTGTAAGTGTGTGTGTGTGTGTGTGTTGTCCTGTGTGTGCGTATGTATGTTTGTGTTTATGTGTGCAACTAGTTTGAGCAGCTTGTTTATCTAGTTGTACATTTATTTGGCTAACTGCCTTCAACCGCAAAATGTTTTTGTACCGTTTACTCTCGTTTTTTGCCCCCTTGGAAACCCATCTTGTGTCTGCTATCTCGCTCGCACTCGCTCAACCTGTCTCGCTCTTCGTAAAATTTTACGAGGCTTAATTGTAGCATATTTGAATTTTTCACAGTTTTATGGCCTCCAACCTGCCCCAAAATAGCAATAAAAAGACTGCAAAAACTAAATAAATACAAATTGCTCAAAATAAATAACGAGAAAAAGAACATTTGGGGAAAGCAAAAAAAAAAAAGAAAGTGAGGACGACTTAAATGGAAAATGCTCGACATTTAGTGTGCTTAAAAGAAATCAATACAATAAATGCAGAATCTACATATTTTTTCAAGAATAAAAACTATTAATTAGTTTAAAAACTATTGAACTATTTGCTGCTATCAAGATATTTATTTATCTCATTCTGTCAATTGTTTTTTAAATGAGAGACTTCATGTCGATATATATCTTTGCACAACAAATTTGCTATCTGGTTGTCGCAATCATTTTGCATTTAATTCTTGCTATTCCCTTTTTCCCTTTATCTACCACTACTCCGATTAAAGATTACAACTACAAACTACCGAATCCAGAAATTGTTTTTTGCAACAACTTTTTGACTATCGCTGCTGGGCTGCAGTTCTATGGGAAAAAAAACTACGATGATACTTTATAATGTTATTCCGTTGCTGCTGTTGCTACCACTATTGTTGTTTTTGTTATGGCATTATCCGACTGTCGCTTTGTCATGAGTGCTTAATATTTTTTCCGTTTATTTCTGCAAGTTCATTTCATTTTTTTGCCGTTTCGCTTTTGTGCCACTGCGAATGCTTTGCATACTTAACCGTTTTATTTTGGGTATGCTAAAAAACACAACTTCTGACAGGTTAATTTTGATATTTTTGTTTAAAAAAACGTAACCAGCAAACGCTACAAATATTTGATTCAGTTTTTTGTGACTTACAAATTTTTGGGAGTGCCAAGATAAATATTCTGTACTTTTATTTTGAACTGTTTTTGGTGTAACCACACAAATATTTATTTTAACCAACTTAGAGCAATCACAATTCGCTCCTTTGTCCTTGCAACATCCTTGGTTTTTTTTTTCTATTTTTCGGCCTCGGTTAAATTTTTTTTATGATTTCCGAGCGTGGAAGGGGGAAAGTCCTTGCACCTACATATCTGTAAATAAATGCATGCATTTCGCTGAGCGCCCCCAAAAGAATGTTATGCCTGTGCATTCCGCATTCCCACAATTCGGAGGCGCAAAAAAAACGGTCGCCGCCCATTCGATTTTTATACCCGATTTTCAATAAACAGACGCCGCTCAGCGAGCTCTGCTTTCCCCCTTTCTCCCCTTTCTTTTTTTTTGTACGCTTTCTCTTCTTCTTATTCTGTCGTCCTGCGGCAGGCGTTCAAAAACAATCAAATATGGAAATTTCTCGGACCCGAATCGGCGTACAGTATCCAGTGTTCAGTATCCACGCATAATGCACATATGTGTCCACATCGGTGTTGTCCTTGTCGCTGCCAAATCCGTCTGGCATATCACCCCACCCCTCCCCCCATCATATATATATATATGAATATATATATATGTACGTGTGTATCCCCCTTCTTTTCGGCTGCATATTTCTGTTGGGGAGAGCAAAAAAAAAATGGGTTGGTGGCGCACAGATAACTATTTCGATTGTGCATTTCAGTGCGTTGAGGCGGAAATATTTCAATTGTGGAGCTGACTTGTAATTTTTCATGCACTCTAGTTGTGGCAGGCGGGCAAAATCAGCTGTTACACTTTCTGTCCATTTTATGTCCTTGCTGATGGCTGAATAATATGATAAAAGAAGCTGCCACACAAAGGAAGTCGAACAGATTACAATCCAAAGAGGAGAACCCATAGGAAACTATCAATAACTTATTTACTAAGTATGTAAAGATCTGATTTGAATTTGTACTTCTTTTTGCTTGCTTTAAATCTCACATTCACAAGTATTCGTACAAGTAAATCCATCTTCTTCAAGTGTTTTTAATTTCCTAAGCATTCGATTACTTAGTCGTGTTCAAACCTGAACATAACATATTCTACTTCTTACTCAGCATTTAATAAAAGAGTTATTCCTAAACTACATAGATGGTTTCAAAAGTGTTCTTTATTTCTTAACAACAAATGCGAAGAGTGAGCTTCAATGCATTTACAGCTGCGTTTAAAATAATAGTGATTTTGCAAGTACATATTGCTTTGACTTTCTTTAAATAAATAAAAATATTTAAATCAAAAGGTTGGCCATAGAAGTGTGTATTTTTTTAAACATTTCCTACTATTTTTACTGCAGTTGTACATGTGTGGATGGAAATAGCAATGCAGTAAACCGCAAATGTTTGTAACTCCATTACGTTTGTGTGTGTGTGTATGTGTGGCTTTTTGTAGCTCTGCGTGTGTATGTGTATTTGTATGTGTGTGAATGGGTTAGATTTCCCCCACATTTTGCCCCCGAAATTTATTGCCAGCATGCCGGAAAAGATTTTCACTTGTATTTTAGCATTCGGCATCGATGGCCGAGTCCCCAGTTCGGTTGAACCAATTATCCCCGGGGGAATCCCCATTTATCCCCGTTCCGGAGAAGCAGAGTAGGTTGACACAGAAGAATCCCCATTGGCCACGACGGCACCTTCAATTATCGGCTTAGTCGGATCTGCAGGCGCAGCCCTTCGATTGCTGCAGCTGTTCGATTGCATTCGGGCCGACCGAAAAATGGCAAAATGGCTAACAGGAAACGGGCTGTGATTTCGGCATTTCGGCTCTGCAGCTCTGAAGCTCTGAAGCTCTGCAGCTCTGGAACTTGGCTGGCATTCAATTAGGTATCGGTCAGTGCAATTCACTGGCAACTGCAGATTCGGCGATAGCAGATGCCCAGGATACGGATTGTAAACACTTCAATTATCGCAACAACAGGGAAATCAGGTTTCCCTTATAAGCGGGACACTCTGCAAAATAATTGTGTCTACCACTACAAATAAAACAATTCAGTTCGGGTGAGGGGAAAAATATTAAAAAAATGCTACAGATCTTTAACTCCTATGAACTATGTACAACATTTCCAAGCTAAAGAGAACTCTGTACTTCGAGTTTGATATTCGGAAGGTCCTTCTTCCTTTCTTGTTGCCCCTTTGTTTTCCTGTTGGGTTATTTACCCTCCTACCTTCCCCCTCTCTATGTTCTTCGAAGAACCGCAGTCTCGCGGGACAGTTAACTGCGGTCTATTCCCCGATATCCAGCGATACGTGGCGCACCAAATTAATATGCACCGGTGGGTTATTCATACGCCCCGTGGGACGGTCAAATAGCAAACAGCAAACTCACCGACGACGACGTCCTTTGTTTACTTGTGTGTGTATTGCGTGTATTTGATTTGATGCGTTTAGTACTTAGGACAACAATTACGTTTAGGTTAACTAGCATAAATCTATAATCATCACATTATGGCACAATGTATGTTATGTAATATATATATATATATAAAGAGACAGTGGGAAGATAGATAGATAGATAGATAGAGAGATAGAGAGAGAGATATACATAAATATCGATTGATTGATAACAAATTAAATTTTCTGCTCGTCACGCTCGAATGGAATCACTTTTGACTTAAACGAGTCACTTGTGATTCGATTCCGTGAGATTTGCTGGCAAATTCGAAGCCTTCTCTTGCGAGATTCTCTTGGATTCTCTTCTCAAGGAGTTCAACCGGAATATACATATGGTACATATATATATCCTTGCTGGCTCACGCTATCAGGCGACCCGTAGTATTGCGGGTTCGCCGACTTCCAGCGCCGCCGTAATGACCACCACCGCCGCCGTAATGGTCTCCATTAATTTGGGTCAGTGTAGTCGTCGTGTGCGGCACATAGAGACTGGTGTTGTTGCGGTTATGTCGATGCCTATACCGATAGCCGGTGATCAGCTCACGCACCGTCTTTCGATACTTATCGGATAGCACACAGTATAGAAAAAAGTTGGAGGCCGCATGGAGGGAGGCGAGCAGATTGCAGACATTACCCGCCACCACTTGGGTGCTCACCTGAATGGTCATGTACTGTTCGACCACCAGGTAAATGGCCCACGGCAGTTGGCACACTATGAACATTAGCACCACCGCAATCAAGGTGATTGTCACTCGGTGCTCCTGCGACACACTGCTCTTGATGCCGGAGTTTGATTTGCGCTGCAAGTAGAGGAAGTTTCATTAGTGACTTCGATGGAAATTCCACATTCGAAAAAACTCACTTTTGTGCGCCTTATGCTACTCGCATTGGTCAGATCACCGCGAAGATTCTTCGACCGATGCACCAGTAGTATCAGAAATGAGTTGAATGTGGCCAGCAGAAGCAAGGGAAGCACCACGAAGATGAGCAGTGTGACCATGCTCCATAAATTACTATAGAGCTCATCCATTCCCAGTTCCGAGTAACCGTGACCAAAGACGGTCATCTTAAAAAACAAACAATAGATAGTTTAGCATACTATTTAAAAATCACAATTCTGAAGCACTTCAATTTAATCAAATTAATTCGAAAAAAAAGAAAAAACGCAAGAAAGCTCACATTTCAAATCCCAAAGTAGTACTTAGTTAAAGAACCCTCTTCGAAAACTCAAAGCACTGAGATATGCGTTTAAGTTATCTTCGTATTCATCATTGTCTTGGAGTAGTTTGCTCCCCTCATGCTTCTCAGTGGCAAACCTTTTTCATTCGCTCCCCGGGGAAATCCCGGGAATTTTCACCACATTTCACTCACATTTTGACAGTATTCCGTTACATTAAATGCGAATGCATCCGTGTTGTTGCTGTTGTCATTGTTGTAGTCATTGTTGTTGTCAGCGCTGCGTTTGCTACGGAGCAACTGCAGCAAACTCTCGGTGACCCTTGACCCCTCATCCTGCTCCTCCTCCTCCTCCGCGGGTTGCCGAACCTGCTGCTCCTGTTCCTCCAGCGTTCTCCGCAAAGCGGGAAGCGTCACAAATCCAGTTGACTGCCAGTGCCGGCGATGTCGCGGAATGTTTTCTAAAATGTTTTCAAACACACATTACATTCCAAATTAAAATAAAGTGTCTACTTAATGATAAGAAAGCTGTAAATCTGTGGCTAACATTTCTTGTATTTTTTTTCTTATATAGAAGTTTATAATATATTGATTATTTTTAATGTAAATTGTTTGTTTTTTTTTCGAGTGTTCTTACCTGGTTCTCCATCTCCGCTGCCGCTGCCCCAATCGATCAGCTGACTCGAGCTGCCGGCGATGGCGGTGGGCGACTCCGTGGAGAAGTCCTGCCACACGGTCGGCGGCGTTGCAAGCGGAGGCGTTGCCAAAGGGGGCGTTGCCAAAGGAGGCGTGCCCAGGGCGAAGGACGGGGGCATGGGCGAGAAATTGGCCTCCGTTTGGTTGCACGGCTGGTAGGCGCCATCAATCAGCTTCCAACCGACCGTAATTGTGTGCTCGAATGCCGTCGAGAGCGTGGACAGCAAACAAAACACAGCCACGGCTGCAAATGAAAAAAAAAAAGAGTTACACACACTTCACCAATAAACAACTAGATTGCTGTTGGAGAAAATAGAAAGTTTGCGAGAGATGGACACTTCAAATCAGCAAACTTTTCATGCACGAAAAAAGATACTTTTCAAGTTGAAATTACCTGCTATCACCTTCTTGGCCAGCGACTCTGTGCAGAATGTTTGCCTCTTGAGCGGATAGCGAATCGCAATGAATCGCTCGATGGTGAAGCATACGGCGATGTAAATCGAAATGTAGCCTGTTGATAAAACAAAATAGTGATGCACTTTAAAAAATATGGTACCAAAAATATTTAGTAATATTCCTTATAATACTATTGATGGATGCGAGTATGTAAATAAAAGAGTTTAAAACAAATACTGATAAAGAAGATAGTTCCGTAAAACGTTTCCCTATAGTTCCCTTATAAAAGTGCACCCCTTTAATTAGTAATTGTTGCCGTGCAAGCTGGGATTATAAATACCCGTAGCTTCGCCCTCCGTTAATCCCCGGAACCACCCACCACCCACTCCCACTCGTGACCCCATGCCCAATTTATTCGCTGCCCGGGCTGTCAATTTATTCAAAACGCTGCGCACTCTAAACGATTGACGTCCGTGCTCCGCTGATGAGTCGCGTTTCGTGATGGTGATGCTGGTGGTGCTGGTGGTGATGCTGGTGGTGCTAGCGGTGCTGGTGGGATGCTGGAGGGGAAATAGGGTCGGAAAATCGTATGGCAGGGAGCCTCAGCTGACCGCTAGAATTTCGCAGAAAGCGCTGCTAACTATACCTCGTAAATTGGCAGAGCTCAATGAAATTGATGCACAACAGCAGCAGTAGCCGCAGGTGCAATTCGAATTGATGGGCTCGTCCCAGGAATCCCCGGGAATCGAGGGGAACCGTTGGCCGAGGAGGGATTGGGGGTGGATAGCCAGAGAACTGGGGAATTTATGGAATCCACACCATTCCACTTAGTGCTCGCCAAACGATGCACTCGCTTTTTATACCCCAGCAGCAATTTTTATCCCAGAAGCAATTGTTTTAACAGCACGAAATTTAAGTTATTGATTTCGCTGCTCTAGTTGTTTTAAGTCATTTAAAATAATATTTGTTCTCTGTGTTAAAAATAGCTTATTTAAATGTTAGCTTTGTTATGTTTGAAATGATCAATTGCTATTTAAAATTGGCATTAAATCATTAAACTCACCGAAACTGTCGCACAGCCAGACGAAGTAGCCGTAGAGCTCCCAGAAGATCTGCAGGTGGTACTTGGCGTAGTCGTAATGCTGGATCGAGAGGATTAATTGACAGGTCAGGTAGGCAATATCCGTGATGGCCAAAGCCGTCAGATAGATGTTCGTGGTGCACCTCATGCGCTTTCTGCAAACGGGAAGGATTGCAGTTTGTGTGTTTATTCCAGTACGCTCTGTGTTTTTCGGCTTTTGGGGTTTTTGCAAACCCATCCGAACCCAAGCTTCTACTATTTGGCGAAATCAGGCCAAACCATTTGGTGGACAATGCAAAACGCTGCCAAGTGCAACACCAATTGAAAAAGCAAATTGCCCGGAAGCCAAACGCAAAAGAGGTTCAGGGGGCATTGAAAAATTCCAAATGGGAAGAGAGAGGGAGAGGGGTGGGGGATTTCCCCTCACCCCCCGCGGGGGCTGGACATTTTCCGAAATGCGCACAAATGTCGGCACAGTCATAAAGCCAAAAGATGAACAATAAAAACTAACTGTTAACATTTAGTTTTGCTCCCTGGCATCGCCCGCAGCTCTGATAGTAAAATCTCCTTGTGTTCACACAAAACAAAACAAAATAAAGAAATAATAAACATTAAATTAAAAAGCCATCCATGGCAGTCAGGCTGCTGGAAACTGCACAGGAGTTGGACTAAAATTGGATTTATCATTTAGCAAATGGTAACCTTTTTACTTCTATATAATTTAAGTACTGGTTAAAAAAGAAAATAAAGTAAGTGTTTTTATATGACCAAGTCTCTATTAATACAATTTGTGCTGAGCAGTTCTAATCCTGTTTATTTTTAACAATTTTGGTTGTCAGAATTAAAAGAATATAGATAAGATTTTTGAGCAGACATATTATTTTATTCGGTTTTTTACTGGAGTTTCCCCGGAAAAGGCCCATATGGAGTCCCCGCACAGAGCACTTGCCACAGTCGCATATTTTTCGACACACATAAAAAACACACACACACACACACTTCGCTTATCTGTAGGTGGCAACAGCAACAACAAAAAGCTGCGTTTTTGCATTTGGCACATAAAATGGCTCTTATTGTTTCGGTTATTGTTGTTGTTTCTGTTGTTGTTGTTGTAGTCGTCCTTGCTACGCTGCCATTATTGTTATTGTTGTTGCTGGCGGTGTGGAAATGATTTTAAAGTGCAGCGGTGGCTACAATTAAATGTCGTGTTTAATGCGCTGCGTACCTGCTCGCCGCTTCATTCATGTTTCACTTGTTCAACGCACACACACTCAGACAGACCATTGGGTACACCGGGAAAAACTAGGGACGTTAAGCGTCCTAATAAAATTGAGCACCTTATGTGTTAACCGTAAAGCCTCTATGAAACAGTCATAAAATTATTTAAACCTAATTGGGAGCGTATTCTTTCATATTTCTTTGCCCTTAAGCAAACTAATTTTACAAATTTGTAAAACATAATTTTTGGCCATTTTTTGGTAGATTTTTGGTACAACTTCCTTCGGTAGATTTTTGGCACTTTTTGACGGTAAAACCGCGATAAAACAGCCAAAACATATTAAATTTTGACGGGGAAGGTATTTTCTTTCATGTTTTGTTGCCCTGAAAACAACTGCATACCCAGTTAAAAAAAACAAATCTAACATTTTTTTCAAAATTTAGCCATTTTTTAAAAATTTATAAATTTACAATTTTTTTTTGGTCGATTTTTTTTGGACCCTTCTTCGATTTTTTATTCCAGAATGCCAAAATATATATTTTTTAATTTCCCAGTGTTTCTGGACAAGCCTTCTTCAAAATGTTAAATCAATATAAAAACATTTTTTTCAAACTTGCCTGTGCATTATGAACCGCTTTCTGCCTGGCGAACACGTGAAATAACAGTGCCTAGAGGCCACGCCCACCCCATCGCCCGAAATCGGTGGGCCATAATCCAGCAACAATAACAACCGAAATGTGGACAATGCGAGGAGAGTGAAAGGGGGGAAAGGGAGGGGGCATGTGTGGGGGATACAAGTGCACTTACCGCGTCAAAACATAAATGCTCACTGAATTTCCCAATAGTCCAATAACAAAAACGCACGGCACCAAAATGCGTTGGACAACATGCCGCACTTCCGCCATTTCCGCATCCGAAAACATTTCGCCAACAGTCGCGTTTCCCACCGTCGCTGCCTCAGTCGCAGTCAGCGTCGCTGTCGTTGTCGACGTCGACGTCGAGGACATGCTCGTCGGCTGGTAGCGCTCCACGCTACGCCACGCCTACCCCGCCCGCCGCCTCCTTTTAGCCGCCTATCCTGACCACTTGAGTTTGGCCCGTATCGGTTGCGTTTTCCCGCTTTTCCGACTCTCCACTCGATTCCGATTCCGATTCGAATTGCACTTTTGTCAGCAGTCAAAACACACACACACGCCCACTGGAAAATATGAAGGAAAACGGGGAGTTGAGTAGGAAAAAACAATATTAAGTTATAAAGCTTTTAATTAACAGGAAATAATTTGGAAATTATGAATATGATTAATAAGTAGAAAAATGAAAAGGTTGTAATTCCAGTGATTTGTTTTCCAAATGTTTTTTAAACTCCCAATTATTTTTTTAGTTAAGAGGAACAAATTTGGAATACTATTAAATAAGTGAAAAATTGAAAAGGTTGTAACTCCAAGATATACACTACTTTTAAACTCCTTAAGTTCGAACATATTTGTTTTTTTTTTAAACTCCCAACTATTGTTTCAGTTAAGAGGAACAAATTAAGCCAAAATCAACATTTCTCTCGCTAATCATTCAATGCCTTCCTTAGCTTTTTTTCATCCGCAGCACCGAATGATTTATGGCCAACTTGGATTGGCGTTGATATTGGCCAACAATCGGACAGATACGGATAGGATGCGGAGTTGGCCAGGAAAGAAAGCGGGGGAGGAGGTGGCCTGCAGCCCTGTCTCCCAGCTGTTTGTTGCAGATTTTTTCAGCCAACCACTCGGATATTTGCCTCGAATTACATTTCGCACACAGACAGACACACAGACACAACCCGCATAGAAAGTTCACTTATTTATTTGGCTTTCAATTTCGGGGCTTTTCGCTTATTTCTTTTGTTTCACTTCGAAACAACCACACACCCACTTTCCGATTTTTCCACGATTTTTCCCCCCTCCTCATTTCTATTTCCTATATTTTTTTTTTTTTTTTTTTTTGCTGTTCTACACACACAACAGGACAGACAAATTGCGCGTAAAATAAAACTGGAATTGCAATTGCAGCGAGGGCAACTACAAAAAACATAAGCAACAAAATGGAGCAAATAGAAAATCGCAAATAGACAAAAGAAGAGCAAGGAATTGGAAAGCGTTTTAAAAACAATAAAAGTGGCAAATTCACAGTCAAACCCCCCGCCCCCTCGAAATTCGCAAATATTGCACGTACGTGAGTGAAAACAAAAACCCAAAACCGAAGAGCGAAAAAAGAAAAACGATAAACGATATTCGTTGCATTAAGCGAACTTTGGGAAAATCAAACAAAAATGTGAGAAATACAAAATGCTTCTATTTCCGCCGGTCCCATCTGATGACATTTAAGGAGGTTCACAAGTGGGTAGATGTGGCTGAATTCATCCATTAATTGATCGCTGGAAAAACCAAAGCTCAAAGGGTTTTTGGTAAGTGTTCAGAGGTAAGGAGGAATTTCCGCCTCCAAAAAGACCTTTCATTTTTGCAGTGCAGACCGTCTGCGCTTTTAAATAAAGCCCAAGCCAGAGGACCGCAGCTATCAATGAATGAATATGGAAATGGTTGAATGAATGCGGAATGAATGGGCATGAATGAATGAATAGATGACTAGCTGGCTGACTGAATAATTGAATGAATGCGTGAATGAACGGCGCGCCTTGGAGGAAAATGACGGAATATGGCTAAAATGCCGCCGAGTGGAACGGAATGGAATAAAACGGCCTCATATTTTTATTGGTGTTTTTATTTTTTTTTTTTTTTTTTTTTTTGCATTGCTCTTGTTGTTGTGGCAGACGCAAGCAGACAAAGTCCTTTTGTTGCCGGCTCTGTTGTTCTTGTCTGCGGTTTCTATACACATTTCCTTTATAGGCAACAATATTATTCTTTCCATTTCCCGAATTTTAATCGATATTTTTCACTTTTAAAAGGATGATTTTAAAGTTTTATAATGCAATAAATAGAACCACAATATATATATTTTCGATGCGTGTGGTAAAAGAGGTAATATTATCTAAGTAATATAAATTGAAAAAATATTACGTATACGTAACGTGTTCTCGTATTGAATTTAAAAAATATTACGTATACGATATATATTCTTTTATTGAAAAGCACATTTTAAGATTATAAAACAATAATATAATTTTTATATAATGGTTACATATATGCTATTACAGGGTAATTTCGAAAGCAATCCTCTTTTCCTGCGTGACCACCTTTTTTATATATGTGTCATTCAGGCAAAAACAACAAAAGATGCCTAAATTAGCACACACTCACACACACACACACACACACACACACCAGCGCGGCTGACAGTTACGTGCGAAAAAAGCGAGGAAGAATTCTTCAGATTTTCCTCTCTCTTCGGTTTTTTTTTGTTGCTGGCAGGCCGCGTTCCACTTTTTCCCAGTTTGGCCAGATGCAACAGAAAATTCTTACATTCCACGTTTTTTTTTCCTCCCTTTGCATAATTAGTGAGTGGCTCAGTGGATACAACAACAACACCACCACCACCAACAACAACAACAACACCATAAGCAAAAAAAAATAATAATAACAATAGCTAGAAGAGGAGCTTGGGCAAGTCAAGTGGCTGTGTGCCATTTTCTCAGCACCTGCAAAAAATGTGCCTTGCTCCTAATTGGCAGCTAACTACAAAGAAAATGGGGAAAATGCCTTTAAAGCCCCGCGTCCAAGGAGCCAAGTAAAAATAGAAGGCCCGCGGCCGCGTTTCCCTGATTAGGATAAGTTGCATTTAAGCAACATTTAAAATTAACTTTAAATTGAAAACCAGTCTGGAATACGGGATAAAAAAATACAAAGAAGTGCACTGGAAAAAATCTACACATAGTAATGGAGCCACTCAAATAGGAGATAAAGTAAGTTAAATTACTTTTATTTTATTTTTCTATTTGCAAGTCAGAATATTTTTTTTCAACAGTAAAGTTTCTTTTAATTGACGGCCTACGTAGGGATTTTTTGGAAGTGCTCAACCGCCACAAAAGCCATAAGTAAATGGCCATCTGGAAGTAAGTTTTTTGCCCTGTAAAACCTGTCCCACTGCCCAACCCGCTGGCCACACAAATCCACGAGGGCCAAGTCAACGCTTTTGGGTTTTGTTTATCGCTGGCCGTCTTTGCGACCCGGCAGCACTTCATCTCCTTAACCCCAGTGCATTTTGTTTACCCCGAGAACCAGCAGCGGCAACAAGATAAAGTCAAATAGTTACAACAGCATCATGACAGGGCAGCCTCAGTCACTCACTTTGGAGTTCCACGGAGTGGGGAGACACGTAAAGGAGGCAGACAGAAAGACAAGGGGAGGCAGTCAGACAGGAGGAGGAGGGGGGTTATAGTCAGACGAGGGGGAAGCTGAGGCGGTCAGTCAGTCAGTCAGACAGTCATTCCATTTCCATCAGGTTGCCCTCGGTCCGAGTTTCGGAGTCAGCAGCCAAGGATCCATTGCAGCCTTTGTGGCAAAAGCAAACAGGAGCGGCGGGGTAGAAACTACAAAAGGGGGATGGAGAAGGGGGAGGGGGAAAAAGGGGGAGGGGGGCAAGGGAGGAAGGGACTTCCGACGGCTCCTTCTTTTACTTGGAGCTACAACAACTGCTTCGCTCAACTACACTATGCTGACTTTGTGGCATTGAGAGCGCCGACAAAAAAGGAGTAGCCCGCAGCCTTTGCACTTTCAATTTGGAATTACCCTGCAAGACATTAGAGGGTATAACAGATATCAAAACTAAATATAAAAAAAAATAAATGCTTGAAATATAATATTCGTTTTCGTTTGTTAGTTTCCCTCTCGTAGATTGTTGATTGTTGCAGATAAGTAACTTAAAGTAAGTATTTCCCAAGACATCTTAGATTAAGCAGTAGAAAAACCGATATTATAATTAACCTGAAGCTCAGTTGAAGAGCTCAAGTACATGGCTAATCCCGATATCCCTTGGCGAACTGCAGTAAAAAATATGCAAGTACAGTTTGCCTCAGGTATTTTTGCATTTGATTTTCGAGTTCTGTCTCGATGTGGCTGGGTTTTTGCGGTGAGTGTGGAAGTGTGGAAGTGGGCAGAAACATGGCTCCGGGACACCGGGAACGGAAGGCAAAGGATTCGGGATTCGGGGCTTGGCATCGGGATACGGATGACGGTTGTCCGGGTTGTCCGGGTTGAGGCCAAGGTGCAGCATTGCCGTGACAGACCATCAAGTTGCACTTGCCCCTCCCCCCCCCCAAAAAAGCTGCATTACCCCCCAGGTTTTTTTTACCGGTGTCCTCTGCTTTCGTTTCGTTTTTGATGGCGCCCCGGCTTGGCAGACAAAATTGCATTTCGCTCAAGGTGTGACCAGGTCCGAGTGCAATGGGAAGTCCCCTGAGAAGCATTTATAAATCGTGTGACAAGCACATGTACACAGAAAACAAAACATGGCATTCCATTTGCTAAGACCTATTTACATAGAGAATATTGTGCAATTATGATATTTAACAAACAGATTATTTAAATTGGTTAAATTTTTCAGTTAAAGAGACTCATTCTTTTGAGTGCTTAAGTGAGAACGATATTACTTTTCGCTGGTTTTTTGTTCCCTGTGTAGGACTTTGGAGCAGGGGAGCAAAGGCGAGACGAGATCCTGCGGAAAGGACCATCGTCCATTGCCATAAAACTTAAACAAGTTATTTATGCACACGCGTTGCGTGCTGGAAGCTCGTTTTCAATTGCAGCTGGCAATGTTTAAGAGGGCCACAGAGGCGGGCGCAAAGGGGGGAGGGGGAAGGGGGTAGAAAACGGTCTGAATGCAAGGTGCATGAAAAGTGGGAAAAGTGCGGGGAGTGCACTGGGGCCTTAAGTTATCAACATGGAATGCAATTTTCCAAACTGTCTATTTTCTATGCAAATTCGCTTGCATTTCACAACGCGCTGCGCTTTGCGCTTTTGCTCTCTATCTTCCACGCCACGCCACGCCCACCATCCAACACCACCGCCCCTCATTTCTGGGGAGGGGGGGCGAAGGGGAGTGGCAGTGGCAGTGGGTGCAGACAGGCCATATCAGCCATATCAGAGAGCTGAGAGCGAAGAAAACCAGTAGTTGTGCAAAAAAAGCGTCGCACAAACATGCAAATGTGTTGCATAGTTTAGGGCGCCATCACACACACACAAACACACTAGCTCACACACACACACACACTTA